GCTGCCAGCTTGCGCCTGAGCAAAGAACATCACGGCCAGCTGGGATTTATACCAGTTAGAACATAAGAAAGGTCTGCAAACGAGAGGGGGCTCATTCGGCCTGTCCTGCCTCTTCGTTAGTTAAGTGTCTAAGTGAATATAAAATTTTATCCAGATGTTTGTTAAAGATAAGACTTTTTTTTATCCCAAAGGGAACTTGATGTGTTGGGTGCTCAGAGTTTGGGTCTCAACCAAGTGGCTAGAAACCTGTTCCTGAAACCCACTACTGTTTGGGTGTTTCCTTTACTCCATCATAAGTGAATTCACTGTAAACATCAAGGTCAGCTGTGTTTCATACAAATCATTGTAGAGTGAAATCGGCCTTAAAGGGGTTCTGCTTTTGGGCTTTAACTGTTGTATATACTGATTAATAACTCAATTGTCCCTTGGCTTTACAAGAAAACAGTTGAAATATAAATATTATACATAGTTATTTTAAATGTTATGGGTGGATGATTCATGTGTGAATCAAAGTTATTCATAGTTATTTTCCTTATTGTAAACAGTAACTTTCAAATTACACCTCAAATATGTCTTACTGGAGACACATTATGTTATATCAGAAATTCCAACTAGTAGAAATTTGCTACTGTAAATATCCAACAATAGTGAAATGTAATATGCATAAAATCCCTTGACTCAGAGCAGATGCCTGTCTCATCTCTGGATTAAGGAACAACTCACTTGGTCTCCTCTAGCTCCTCTGTCTTCTGGATAGCATCAGTCTCATACTTGGTCCTCCAGGTCGTGACCTCAGAGTTCAGTTTGGAGATGAGCCGCTGCATCTCTGCTTTGCTCTCCTGCTCCTCCTCCAACTGCTCCTTCATCAGGTCCAGATCATGGCGGGCGTTGGCCAGACCAACCACTGCGGCGCTGCGAGACTGGGGAGAAAGGAGAAGGGCGCAATTCGGTACTTCTCTAGATAATAGAATAGAATATTTTCAAGTCAAGAATCCTTAAGTTCCATGTATAGTTTGAAGGCCAATTCACAGTGACAGCTCACCTTGGACTCCTCATCCACCTGCCTCTTCAGTTCGTCGGTCTGGGAGGTCAGGGTGGTCTTCACACGCAGGACCTGGTTCAACCTGCTCTGCGTCTCCTCCAGTTCCCGGCTCAGTTCGCTGTTCTCAGCTGCACAGCAGGAGAGAGCAGGACCAGGATGATTGAAAAACATATCTCTGACATTTGTATTGGTCAGCAATGATAACCATACTTGCAGCTCATGTCTCCATGTATTATACTTCATAAAGAGAGATCCGAAGTGAATTGGTAAAATGACGCCCACCTATATACTGTAACAAGAGGGGTGGAAGAAGATGTATCGACCCATCTCCAACCCATCTCCAGTACATGGTTCTCTATTGTTAGAAAAAATATTTCACTATAATTTAACTTCTTTTAACAACTAAAACCCTCCCTATCCCTGTTTTGTAGCAATTCTGTATATCCGCTATCTAGATATGTGGACAACAGGCCTGGAGTAAGATCACTTTATTCGCCAATTTCTTGTATTATGAATTTGTCAATGGAGAGGGGGCACAATAAAATGTACAAGATTTCTCACAAGAGATCCTGGTTTTGAAGGCATTCAGCTCAGTTTGGTTCCTCTCCATCTCTGTCAGTCTGGCGTTGGCTTCTGCCAGACTGTCCTCCAGTTTGCGAACAAGGGCTTCTCCGTTCAGCTGCACAGAGAAACAGTTGCTGCTGACTCTCTCTAATGTCCTGTGAATACCACTTGGCAATTTTAGATTTTGATACAAAACATTAGGTCTCAGTACAAATGTTTGAATGTGAGAAAAGGTCCTTCACATAAACATCTTTACTACAACTGTTATGAACAGACATCGACAAAACAAACATTCAATCAGATGTAAAATAGTGCCTATTGAGAAATGATGGAAAGAGATTCTTGGATCAATAAGATACTAGCTACCATACAGGCCAGATGGGCTTCCTCTCATTTGAAACCTACAGAGCTCTAAACTCAACCTTCTTTACCTTGGCCTTCTGGATAGTCTCCACATTGGCACTGAGGTCATCGATCTCAGCCTTCATAACCTGCTTGTCCTTCTCCAGCTTGGCCTTCACCCTTTGCAGGTTCTCCACATGCTCAGAAAGCTCTGCCATGGAGTCGGCATGTTTCTTGCGCAGAGCGGAGGCTGTGGCTTCAGACTGCAGAGCTGCCTCCTCCAGCTCCCGGCGAAGCTTAAGCAGCTCTCCTTCCCTCTTCCTGTTCTGCTCAATCTGGGGATCATTGACCAGAAATCCTCCAGTTAGTATCACAAATAATAGCAATGACTTAGCTATGTCTTAAAAGGTTAAACCTGTGTAACTATCCTCATCATGTTGCAGATGTCAATTCTCAACACTGTTACTCACCCGGAGCAACTTGAGGAGGGACATAATTTCTAAAAGGATTTACTGATTCACCTGAGCAACTGTAGCACCCCCTGCTTCCTCCAGCCTGTCACTGATGTCCTCCAGGTCACGAGACAAGTCAGAACGTTGCTTCTCTACCTGTTTCAATAAAGGAAGGAAGATGGTTACAGAATCACTTCCTCAGGAATGACAACAGACTTCTGAACAGCAGCAATGAGCTCTTGATGGAGATACCTTGGCTCTCATGGCTCTCTCAGCTTCAAGCTCCTCTTCTAACTCCTCAATACGAGCCTGCAAACAAAACAGGTACAAGTCATAAGAAGCAGAAAGTAAGGATTTCATTTCAAGGTTGTAACTAGTAACTGGAAGCAAGTGTCAATATTCCTGTCTGCCTTGTAACGAGACTGCATGCGTTTCTTAGTACCTGGTGCTCTTTGAACTTCCTCTGCAAAGTAGAGTTGAGAGACTGCTCGTCCTCCCATTTTGAGTTCAAGTGGTTGATCTCAAAATCCCTCCTATGAGACAAACAATAAAATACCCAGTTGCATACAGAACACTCAAGTCACATGTAGGTTATAATAGGTTGTTATAACCTATTATAATAAGTATTATATACGTATATAATAATATTATATTAATAATTATATAATCATACTTATAATTATAATAATATAATAAGTATTACTTACTTCTTCCTATTATAACCTATTGTAAGTAAATTATTGACTGCAAATACTTTATTAAGTTGACCTCAATAGCACAAAAATGACACGCAAATCTCATGTAATTATGTTACAATAATTTATTGTAATTCTTGAGCTCAGCAATACTGTACTTCATTTTGAGATATTTGCTCCCCTAGTTATTCCATGACTCCTGGTGACTCAGCCTGGTGACATTCTTACTTTTTGACAGCCTCTTCAAGGTCGAGCTTGGCTCTCTCCATCTCGTTCAGGTTTTCAATGGTCATTTTCAGATCCCCCTCAGCTTTCCGTCGTGCTTTCTCCACCTCAGCACGGATCTTTTTCTCCTGTTCCCAGTTGTCTTCCAGCTGAAAGATCAAGGAGAGGTAGTCTCATCATACGAACATTCAGCTATTTTCTTCTGGGAACACCACAGTATCTGCTGCATTGACTGTTCATTTTCCATCTCTGCTGGTAACTCACTCACCTCATGGATCTGGGTGTTGAGTTTGCTGTTGCTCTTAGTGAGGTGGTTCACCTTGTCCTCCTCTGCCTGGAGATCATCCAGAGTTTTCTGGAAACAAAATCCAGATACCATCGTTATATGCAAACAGGAACAAGCCTATGTTTGTTTTTACTTACTGTATTAAACTGACAGTATGAATTTTGGGGGGAATGTAAACGTTGTATGCAACTACTTTCTATATATCAGGATTTATATTATATCAGGAATATATATTCATATATTCAATATTTTTATTTAATTTTGTGTGATTTTTAGCATGGGTGTATGCTAACAAATGTAGTTTAATTTCATGTATTAAGCTTTCCAGGAGGCACCCAAAAATATATTTATTGTTTTGTGTTTTTCAGTACAGGTTCAGTCTTGTTTTCTGTCAGACAGGAAGCTGTTCTATGACACTGAAGCAGGCCTCACCTGATGCAGCTCCTCGAGAGCTCTCTTTTCCTTCTGGAGTTTGGCTATACTGTCATCTCTTTGGCCCAGGTCTCCAGTAAGGGTGCGCACTTTGTGGTCCAGAGCCTGGGAAAGAACAAGATGAGAATCATCCTCAATGGATACACAATTCAGAATTATGGAATACTATTTATCCACAGTGAGTGCACATGATTACATGATAGAGAATACATGATAGTATTCTGTTACTCAGCATTTCAGGTGTGGAATTGCCATGACTGTATACAAAATGTTGATGTTTTGGGGATGTTTTGTTGCCCCTCATTTGGGGTGAAGAACTGGTAATATATATTGGCTACAGTTTCCCTCCTGTTTTTTTTTATTCCCACATTTATTTTTACCATACTACAAATAAAAAACCTCCCTTATTTTTCTGTCCCTTACAATATTGTATTACAAAATTATAAGTATTTTTATGCAAAATATATTTGTGTTTTAGAACATATGACACATAATCATCTTAAAACTATGTCATAATTTTCTGTGTGGTGTTTGTATTTATTATGTGATGTTTTTAAATGATCATATTTGTCTTAGTCTTTTGAACAAACCTTTTTAACATTATAATTGTCAGGTAAATATTAAATTGTGCCTTAATTAATACTAATTGTACTACTCTTGGAATTATGGAATAATTTATTATGACCCCTTTTAAGATGTTTTGAAATGTAGTTCATTTTCTGAGGATGGGGACAAATATTTGATTCTCCTGTTTTTACTGATCCCCCACAGACTGAACCTCCCTGTCCTCCCTGTCCAAATTAAAGAGAAACAATCCAAACCGTTTCTCTGCTCAGTCTAAGAGAAAGATGGCCCTTCCTGAAGGTGATCTTACCTGTTTCTCTTTCTCGGTCTTGGCAAGAGTGGACTCAAGCCCCTCCAGGTCCCTCTTGAGGTCATTGAGCTCTCCCTCCAGCTTGCGCTTATGGGCCCCAAGGCTACTGGCTGTACTCTCTTCTTCTTCCAGCTGCTCCTTCATCTCCTGGATCTGGCTCTCCATACTGATCTTCGACTTCATCAGTTGGGTGCAACGCTCTTCTGCGTCGGCCAGTGTCTCTTGTTCCTGCAGGCAGGGGATGTAGAGAGAATGAGACATGGGCAAGAGTTAAGCTTTGACAGCAGAGGACTTAAAAACCCCAGAGTGAACTATTATTCCAATTACCATTTATTTTCTAATGTTCACAGAGAGGAAACTGATTATCTGTTCATAACATACACAGCATATATATAGAATTTGTGATCCTGAGAGAGTTAAAACAGGAAGGGTTAGGAATAAAGCCTTGGAAATGCGTGAGAAAAGCTGCTGTGAACAACTACACACCTAACACAGTATTTTATTGGCCAATAATTATGACTTTAGACAAATAGGTCTGGCAGGTAGAGTAATACAGTACATACAACTTCTATTACCTGTGAAGTATTAGAAAAAAATATTAGAACTAAAGTAAAGGTTCAGCGAACATTCAAAGTGGATTTAGAAAAGGTACATCTTGCATAACCAATTTGTTAGATGTGTTCGAACAAGTTACAAAAGTAATAGTTACACACAGGTGCATATAAACTTGTATTTAGAATTTCATAACAAATTGAAAACAGGGTGTACAGATAAGTGTTGAATGTTCAAATTGAGGTGAATTAGTCATAGTCCAGTACCACAGGGATTTTAAGAAATGGCTAGATTGTTGGATAACTTAGCATCTTCAAAACCATTTGTGCCAAATGGCTCTTTGTGGAGCAGGACGCACCGCTATCAGAGTCAACGAAAGGTCATTCTTCTCCTGGGAGAGGGTGGCCAACTTCTCTTCCAGCTCCTTGATCCTGTTGACCATCTCCTGGGTCTTCTCCATTGCACTGCGCAGCTCTTCCTCCTTGGCCTTCATCTCATCCTCCTGCCGTGCCACATTCAGCAGAGGCTTCACCTGAAGGGCAGGACATCAGAAAGAGGAAAGCTGGAGGGGTTCTGTCCCAAACTGACTCTACAGAAGGCGGCTGAGTCCTAGACTCCCTCCACTTACTTTGTTGTAGAGCTTCCACCATCCCCAGTACCGGAGCTGCAGGAATTTGCGCACGTTACGCTGGATGGCGATCAGAGCAATTCTACAACAGGAAGAAATATCGAAATCCTTCAAGAAAGTTCACTTGGGTGTATACACACACAGGATCTCAGCGTCATTGCCAAAGCTTTTAATTTGAGGCCAGAAATAATTCCTAATTTTATCAATGGAATTGCAGAAAAAGAAAATGCAAGTGTGAAAAAAGTAAGCTTGGAGATTGAAATAGTGTTGTAAATTGTTTATTGGAGCAAAACACCTTTTAGCGTGAAGTCATTTATGCTGTCTTCTTGTCCTCTGAGAAATCAACGTTTTGGAAATGTTTATCTCTGCTACTCAGTTATAATACGTAAGTCTACTTCTTGATAGGTTTAAAACTACCAACATGAAATGTGCAAAATGAGCTGAATTGGTAGTGTAGACAATACAGAAAGAAGGCTCTATCCCTCATCTAATTCTGTTGCTGTATCTCCTCGTGTGTCTGTGAAAGAAAGCTCAACCCTAAAAATGGTTTCAAGATACAGTCAGTTTCATATGGTCAATCACAACATTTCTTTGAATTTCAATCTTGAATCCTAACTGTGCATTAAATACTCATGCCAGGGAATACTGTCACCACTGACCTTCTGTCAAGCATCTTCTTGAACTCAATTCTCATGAGGACACCACGTAGTCGGGCCTGAAGCATGGTCATAATCTTCGCCAGTCGCTCGTCTCTCATGTCCTCAAGCTTGGCCAAGACTCCAGCACGGAAGAACACCTTTCACATTAGAGGGGAAATCATAAGTAGAAATGATTTAATGAATTGATGACAAAGGATTCAATATAACATTAAATTTGTTTTCTGATTGGTAAATTTGAGCGACGGATAAATTTATCTGTCATTTTAGAGGTGAAATAGTCATGTTTTCAATTAATAAGCAAACTATATAGTACACTCTGACCTTGTGACCTCTAGTTTCAAGGATACCAATCTTATGATATTTATAAAGTTATAAAGAAAACAAGCAAAAACAATTTGAAAATGATTGAATTATATATATATATATTAAATGCATTGCAAAAATAGAGTATTATCTCTAGAAGTGTATTATCAGAGTTCAATACACAGGCTTCACTATTAGACACTTTGCTAAGAGACAAGAGAACAACAAAAACTAATCATGTAAAATTGTATTCCTTGAGATGCAAGTATCTAAAGACTTGATTATGTGCAGGTGGCTGATTTGATGTCCTTTTATGATATGTAGAACTTCTGAAGACATTTTCTCCCTGTGTTCATTCTGTGATGTCCAGTCTCACCTTAGTATGCCCAATCCTGTACTCCATGTCATCCAGGCCCAGGGAGCCCAGGATTAGCTCTGAGGCTTTCTTGTTGTCCACAAATCCCTTAGGGATGATATTGGGGTTCAGAATATAATACCTGTAACAGTAAAATATGCACACAAGACCAATAGTTACATTAATAAGAAACACACAGCAAATCAAAGACAAAGAAAGTTAAAGGTTTCAGGAAATTATCATACTTGAGTGGTTATTGTATAGTAAATAAATAAGGTAAGATACTGATATACACAACATGTAACTTTCCTGTTTTCTACATTATACCTAAGGCATAGTAAGCACTCATTTACTTGCTTAATTTACTGCATAGTGAAGAGAACCTACACTAGCTTACACATCTAGATGGCTGCAGGGAGAAAACATGAATGTTTATACCTAGTCGCAGTGGATTTATCTTGTTAATTGACTGACAAAGATCATGACAAAATCAGGGTAATGAAAAGAAATTGCACAGCAATACATGGATGTCACGACTGTAGTCCCTCCCCCTTAAGGGCTCCGGGCTTTCATTTCGGACTTGATTTTGTGCACCTGTCCCCTGTTTCAGCCTGTTCCCAGTCCTCCTTAAAAGCCAGGCGCTGACGTTAATCCGGGCTCTGCATCTGATCTCCGTATCATGCGAGTCCGGGACCTGGAAGCGCCTGATCCCGTTAAGGTTTTATTCTCTGTTCCCGTCCCCCCCCCCCCTGCTGGTTCCGACCCGGTTCCAGTTTTTATCTAGTTTGTTTTGGATTGACCGCCCGGTTTTGGACTTTTGCTTTCATTTGGATTCCCCTTGGATTTTTTCCCGGATTGTTTGCCTCGGCCACACCTTCCCCGAACACCAGCACACCAAGGACACACCCCCTGTTTTGATCCCCGTTTCCTGCATGGCTTTTTCCCCCATGTTTCTCACTCAAGCCCAGATTGTTTCGTCCACATAGGGTCTGGAAGGAACTGTTCTGTTACAATGGATTCAGCAAACACCAGCCCCAGTAAGAAATACACAATGACTGCAAGAATGACCTCTGCTTGAACTCCGGGTACTGCAGCCTGTTGGGGAAGCCCTTTCTGCAGATGCGGATTCCCTCCAGCACACCATTACAGGCCAGCTGGTGCAGAATCAGGAAGGCATCACAAACCCCTGGGTGAAGACAGGGACATGGTCAGGTAGCATCCCTGCACAGAGCTTTCAGATATTTCAGAGGAACATGGTGTGAAAATAAACTTGCCAAATGTCCTAAGATTCCTTTCTTATTTTTACACACATTGTCTGTGAGTTATGAAAATAATGATCCTCATACATTTTGATTATTGAACACATATTTTTGACTCATTTACACTTTAAAGTATTCATTCTGGCGTATAAAAGTGAATGTACAAGATTGCTCAATGTATGAACCCTATGATACTCAGAGGTATCCTTTCATGTTGAAGATCTGCACTGTGTTAAGCTGTGCTGTATCTTACCTGACTGCTTGAACTCATTAGGTACAATGCAGCGGACAAAGTGAGGGGCAGTACTGCGCAGCGTGGTCATCAACTTGTTCAGCTGCTCCTGTTTGTAAAAAGAGATGAAAAATAGTAAAGACTTATTGAACTTCCCCTAATACCAAAAACATGCATTTTGTAATGTCACTTGGAACCAAATTATCATAAAACAAAACAGTGCTGGGAGTAGACAGAACCTACTTTGCTTTTTTAAGTTAACATATGTGCTTTGACAAAGTCTGATCCCCTATGGGGTGAATTAAAAAAGATTCTATGTCTTTATCATTTGTAGAATATCAGAACAGGAAAGGTGTCGCGTTCGTCATCCCTCCTCTTAAGGGCGGTTCGACCCTTTCCTATTTTAGTTTATTTCTGGCACCTGACCCCTGTTTAGTCTGTCATTATTTAAGCCTGGCCCTCCCACTATTCCTGGCTCAGCATTGGAAAATGGACGCCTGGACGCCCGTCTACCAGCAGGTCCAGGAGAGACCCAACGGCATAGGCTTCATCACGGCGTCCTGAGACCGGGGCTTGAAGCGAATGGCCTCGTTATCTTGTTTTTTAACTCCCTGTTCCAGATCCCATTTCCTGATTTTAACCTCATCTGTCTCTGGTGGTTCCTGTGCCCTGGATTTCCCCCTTGGACTGTTTGGACTTGTTTGCCTGTGCCACACCTCCCGAGCACCGGATCACCGTCATGCCCCCCTGTCTGTCAATACACCCTGATCCTCGTAGTCTCCCTTTTGTTCTTCTCCACTTACTTCCGGATTATACCATCTGCATAGGGCCCTGAACTACCCTTCACGGGAGCCTGGACCAGCTCTTGTATCAAAAGGTTTGGAGCACAGAGATGGCTGAATACCCTGTAGAAAGCAGAAACAGTCTGAAAGGATGAGCCCTTCTTCTGCTTCTTGGCCCCTCCAGGTTGCTCCTCCTCCTTGAAGAGAGCAGCCAGAAGGTTCATAGATGACTTCTGGAACAGGCCCACCACAGTCTCGTTCAGTGGATCCTTGTTCTTCTCAAGCCAGCCTGTGATATTGTACCCAACCTTAACAATGAAGTAAAGGGAGAAAGATCAGTTAATTCTGACATTTGAAAGGAAAGACATCAAAAACTGATGTAATGGCTATAATCCAAAATGAAATGGTGACACAAACTTAATCAGATTTCATTTTGAGGTTTACAAACTCACAGTGCCAGCATAGTGGACCAGCTCAAAGTGAGCTTCTGGGCCTTTCTTCCCTCCTTTAGGCTTCAAGAAGTTGTTGGACTTGCCCAGATGATTGTCATACAGGGCAGCCTTAAAGGTAGCATCAGTGGCCTTGGGGAACACACACTGCTCCTCTAGGATTGAGAAGATCCCCATGGGCTGCAAAAGGACAATGAGACTATGAACTCAAAACACTTCAACCCACACAGCTCAAATTACTGAAACACGGTGTATGTAAAGGCATATAATCATTCCTCCCTTATCTCACCTTCTCCAGCAGCTCAATGCAGGCTTGCAGGTCCAGACCAAAGTCAATGAAGACCCAGTCGATTCCTTCCTTCTTGTACTCTTCCTGCTCCAGCACGAACATATGGTGATTGAAAAACTGTTGCAGTTTCTCATTTGTGAAGTTGATGCAGAGCTGCTCGAAGCTGTTGAACTGTGAAGAAATAGGCAATAACTGTGAAATTCATGGATTTAATTCAGGAATTTTTATACTCCAGAGCTTTTGGTTTATTAAAACTGTTACTTTGACCCAGACTGTGTCAATGTTTAAGTGCTGCAACCAAAACCAATTTAAATATCTCTTTCAGTAAAATTGTATATTTGTGTGATAGAAGGGATAGAAATTGATAATTTGTTTACCTCAAAGATCTCAAAGCCAGCAATGTCCAGAACTCCAATGAAATACTGGCGCTGCATCTTGGTGTCCAAGGTTTTGTTAATTCTGGCAACCATCCATTTGAACATTTTGTCATAGACGGCTTTGGCCAGGGCACCAATGGAGTAGTTGCACTGGTCTTGGTTCTGCCCCTTGGTCACAAACTCATTCCCCACCTTCACACGTGGCCTGGTAATGCCCTTCTGGAGTTCCCCAGAGCTGACTGCCATGAGGTGGGCAACTTTGTCAGCCACTGAGGAGGACAGAGAGGATAATTATTATGGTTTTATTTTTGTGTTTACAAAATAACTCCCTGTATTCTTTATAACGAATGCAAATTGAAAGAGATATCTTCAAAATAATGGATACCATAAGATTGCTCCTCAAGATACATGGTAGCTGGTGGAGAATGCATGAGTATGAGTTATATTTTAATAGACATGGGCAATGAGCTAATAACCCCAGCAAATGGTCACAATTCAACAACATTCACTTTAAATTTTGAAAATGATTCTGTTTCCTAAACTGGGTCAGCTCTATAGTGCCAGTTGTGTACAGTACAGTACTGTATATATGGTATTAGATCAAATAGGTTGTGCCAGTCTTAATTTCTTAGTGAACTTTAGTTGCCAGACATAATGCTTTCCTTTTAGAAGATCAAGTTGTTCCAATGGCATCTCTTCTGACCACAAAACCTGGTAATGCTGTATCACTTGAATGGTTTGTTGCAGACTTCATGCAGGATCTGAGATGGGTTTACTGCTCTGCCGTACAGACCAGCTTTGCAGAATTGCCTGGATATTGTTGACTCCTGGACATTTTCTCCCATCTTATTCACTAAACTCTATAACTCTTTCAAAGTCACTGTGGGCCTCACTGTGCCATCCCTAACCAGTTTCTTTGTACTACAGATATTCAGGGTCTTTTGACATGTTTTTATAACTTTGTCCTGGTCTAATAAACTTTTGTGTTCATGGTCAAATGTTGAAATTCACTCCCTGACTGTGGGAACAGTCACGGATGTTGGAAAGGGCATGCCGTGGAATGGCCAAGAGAGCAATAAAGACCCAATGCGTAGTGGCGAAACGGGGGTTACCCCGGGTTCAGTGTCACGCCCTGTATGCCTCTTCTGTCCTGTTCCTAGTTCCCTGTGATTATTATTATTATTATTATGTCTTTCCGGTGTGTCTTCTTGTGTAGCCTATTTACTTCCTGTGTCTGCTCTGCTCCTGGCTCAGCATTGAGGGTACAGATGTCCTGAAAACCGCCTAGCACCAGGTCGCCCCACGTCCATGGCCTGAGGGCATAGGTTTCTATACCAACATCGTTTGACCCCCTGAGCCTGGGCTAACCTCCGTGTTGCCCCCTTTTACCACTATGCATAGGGTCTTTATTGCTCTCCTGGCCATTCCACGTCTTGCCCTTCCGACATCCGTAACACTCAGGAGGTCAGACAATGTCGGATAGAAACTTATGACCTCAGGCCACGGAGGAGACGACCTGGTGCTAGGCGGGTCTCAAGACATCTGAACCCTCAATGCTGAGCGAGGAGGAAAGGATGACCCAGAAAAATATAGCCCCACACAAAGACACACTGGAAGGACAGGACAAGCAAAGCACAGGGAAACTAGGAACAGGACAGAGTAAGGGCGCCCTCTAGCAGTAGAGGGCACGACAGGAATGTCATTAATCGAAATTAGAGGCAATTCAAAGGACTGTGTGACTTGTCAAAGTAATTTTGTGCGCCTTGACTAATTTAGGCTTGTCAAAGCAAAGGGGGTAAATAATAACAGAATTAATGTATTTTAGTTTGGGATCTCTGCGTGAAGGTTTTGCTGCCATTTATCTTGTTTCAGTCTGAGCATATACATTTTGATTATCAAATCACTTAAAAATGTGTAAACATCATCTGAATTTTGGCCAAATGAACATCATTGGAAGGTGCTGCATACATACAGGCACTCGACAGTATGTTACATCTTACCCTCAGTGGTGTCCACTTCAGCCTGTTCTTCTCTTGGCTTCTGCTTGAATTTCATGTTACCAAAGTGCATGATGCCACCAGTTAGCTTGTAAACACTCATTTTCTCCTCCTGAGTGAAGCCCAATACATCAAAGGCTTCCTGTTCGAACATTATTATATACAGCATGCGTAAGACACTGGGACATGAAGGGTGTTCAACTATATCGATTCATATGTCCTCCCTTATCTTATCTAGACAGCAATCAATGAACTAATTGCAGATTCATGACAGATTTTAGCTATCATGCGCATAATAATGACCCTTATATAGACAAAGTATAACCCACTGTTGTTTTAATAAATTCCACATGGTAGCTAAAAGACAAAAGTACATTGATATCATATAATAAAAGATGTTATTATGAGGGCATTTTTGCCTCAGATAGATGAAATTTACTTAGTATGGGATAGATATACTAATGGCATAAGACCAACTAATAGAAAGAAAAGCCAGAAATGTATGCAAGTGAATACAAAATAAATATATGTTCCTGGCCTTCTACCAGATTCCTTACCAAAGCTCCCCTAAATCTCACAGACAAGGACCCAATCTAGAACCTTGTTAATATCAGCACCGGGCTCTGACTTACATCAGTGAGAAGCAGTTCTTCTCCATCATCCATGTTGTCAACCACAGTCACACCCTGGCAGACCCAGATATACTGTTTGGGATCAGGACTGAGCAGCAGCGTTTCTGCAAGTGACAATACACAGAACAAGCTCAATGGCAGCACAGCACCACTGCATGTAATTCTAGTTCAGCCCTGCATATTGCAATGTACAAGGTGTATTCATTTTTTAAGTGGCAAGGATTGTCCTCTCTGGAATTCCTGTAAATGGTGGAAAAATGCCCATAAAGTGGAAATGAAGAGGAAATTGCAGAGATTCATAAATTCATGCACAAGTCTGCTTAATGAAGAGGATCTTTAATGTAATTCACAATGGCCTTAAGAATAGAGAGAGTTATGACATAAGCCCAGAGATGGAACTCCAAAGACTAAAACAATAAGTTACTATGGAAATTCTCACCCCCATGGACTGAGAGCCACACCTCCAGGATTATACTCTTGAATATAAAAGAGTTCACATAAAGAATATATCAGTCTTGACCCACAGGCAGTAACATAAGAGGTCAATATTGTCTCACTCCAATTGCGATGAAATTGTCTTTTCAATAGACAAAGGCTTTATGTAGCTTTGCCTATGCTGTTTCTCCTTAGTACTGTATGTTTAAACATACCAAGAAGTTCTGGCTTCTTCCCTGACAGGATCTGGTAGAAGATGTGATAGCCACGTTCCGCAGCTTGTTGAGAAATAACACGAGACTTCTCCAGCAGGTCTGCAGGAGCAAACAAGCTCCTGTTAAGGTCACATAAAGGTATGCAGCTCCCCATTCTTTGAATAACATTATTTGATTGAACTCCATGAAAGTTGTCCAGTTTTAAGAATTGCAACAAATGCATCTTGTTAGAATGTTTTACCATTCAATTGTGGGCATCCCCCAATAACATCTGGTTTTCAATCCAGACCAACTTGTGACATAGTTATCACAAAGAAATATTGGAACATATAAAAAGTGATTATAAAAAGATTATTAAATATTATTTAATGTATACAGATTCAGGAAGACAATGGTATTTAGATCAGGCTTAGGGTCATATATTCTGCAAAATTAATTTATTAGGTGGGATATTTATCACCAAGGGAACAATCAGGCCTTTTATTTATAACAAAGATTATTTTTACTTCTCTCATTTGGAGCAAATTGTGGTCATATCTGCTTCTGGTGTTAGACTTGATATTTTTGTGAAAGTTTGGTTTTCCAATTAGAAAATTGTTTGAATCACAACAGCTTACAATTAAAGATATTCATAAATATAAATACTGAAGTTGTTAAAAAAGTTGTTGAAATTTTTAAATTCAATTTAACCAGAATGGTTTTACAGTACAGTACTTACAGCTCTCAATATCAGCACCAGCCAGCTTAGCTGTGGGCCCAAAGTGGATTCGAATGAATTTACCCTGGAAAGCACATGTGAGACAAATCACATGTTATTTTTCATACAATAACCAACATATCAATTGTCCTCAAAGCCTAATTTAACATCTCTAGTAATGAATAACTTTACTAGGACAAGTAGGGGTATTTTAAATAAGTAAATCAGACTTAAGGTCTGTAAGGTTTAATTATTGCATAGGCATTAGAGATATGAGGTCCAAATTGTATTTCCAATAAAGTTACAAGGAAAATAAAATAAGTTCATGAATAAATAAACATTCACTACATTTCGTCTAACGAGGGCAATTTACTTGCACCACAAGTGATAATTAAGAGACTTACGAATCGGGAGGAGTTGTTGTTCCTGGTGGTTTTGGCGTTACCGAAAGCCTCCAGCACAGGGTTGGCCTGGATGATTTGATCTTCCAGGGAGCCCTGTGTCAAACACAGATCAAAGATTGTCCCGCCAGTTAATACAGTGAAAGTACTACAGTGCCCTTATTCACATAGTCCTTACAAAGCAAGATTGTAGTGATATTAAAACATGTAATGTTTTGTTGAGTAATGACATTGACAAAACACTGATATACTGTATGATGAAAAGTGGGGAAGAAAGCAATGATGGAGTTGTTAACAAGAAAATATGTAGATGATAGGAGGCTACCCTAATTTCATATATGAAATGTGTACAAAATATTGGAAAATTGATGTAAAACACAAGAGAGTGGAGTAAAACTGGGTAAACTGGGGTTTAAAAGATTAGGGAGAATGTGTTCAAAACTGTTAACTGACCTTTGAAGTGAAGGTGCACATAAAAGTGTTACTTTTAAACCCTATAGTTACAAGTGAAATGTGATCATTTGTTGAGGGCAAAATGTTGGATAAACTTGTGGAGGAATCCATGGCAAATTACACTCATAACTTTTGATCAAGTGATGTTATAAAAATGGAGGAAAATTCTTGAGGATCTACCCAGAATTTATTTAACATAACCTTAGTTCCAAGAACTTTGCTCCTGGCATACAACCAAAAATGTCATCAAACAGTATATCTTGTCATTATCAAAACGGGGCAATGTAATAAAAATATATTTATTTCTAGTTTGCTTCTGTATCCTATGACTGCTTGAAATTCAGCAAAGTCACTTACTCCAATATGGCTACAGTGACAAGTAAATTTGTGCATGTAGTATCATTTGTATGATGAAAAAGAAATCACAGAACATGTTTCCCCAGAAGATTAACTCCAGCAATAGCTGGTCTCCTCAGCTTCCTCAGCGGGCTCGTCCCACTCTGCCTCTCTGAAGTACAGATACTGTACTTGAATGACCCACATCCTGCTGCAGTAGATTTACCTTGGAATCTGAGGACGGTTTTCCTCCGGTTGCGCCAACGTTGGCAAAGTACTGGATGACCTTCTTGGTGTTCTCAGTCTTGCCAGCACCAGATTCTCCACTGGGGAGAGGGGAGAGTGTCAGGCTTTTGTCATTCTAACTGTAGTACAATCTCAGAATCACTCATTTCAGAGTATCATCCTTTAATGGCATTATGACCGAATTATTGCTATTATGTCATTTCTGTTGCATTGCATTCTGTGACACAGTGCATTTCCACAATTTTAGGACAAATTTGTTCAAGTAAAATACTGGTATCATATGAAAGATGTACAACAAATAACAGATAAACCTACTGTAGGATAGAAAAAAAATTACATTTTACTTAATTAAACATTTTAAACTCTATAACGTGTTTTACCTTGAACGGTACTTCCTAAAATATTGGAGGATCTCTGACCAATTTTGTTTACTGAAAGGAAAACTTTCTATTATTTCTAAAATGTTTTTGAAAATAAACTTCTCTACAAGTTGGTACATATATCTTGGAAATATTTTAGCTTTCATGGATATAACTGTTCTGTAGTTCTTCAGTTGAATGAGTGCAAAACCATATAGCAATTCTTGTGAATTTCTCTTATATCTAGCATACACACTATTACATTTCAGCATGGATACCTGAATTAGTTTCATCTGCTGGCTGATCTAACTGTTGGCCATAATTAGATATATTAAAACTTCTGTTCCATAAATAAAGCCACCATTGTATTTTCTTAATAATACTTTTAATCATACATTGCATTTATTTGGTGAATTAATGTATTAAAGAACAAATGCTGCAATAAGACAAAATGTTTAAAAAAACACCTCTGCAGTGTGCTTGTATGTTAAAGACAAGAAGACAATGAGGCTTGTTAACTGTGGAGGTCAGGAATTTGGTTGTTAAAAAGCAATAGGTAACAGGTCCCTTTATCTAAGATTAAAAAAAAACTTTTTGCATGGACTTACGTGATCAGCATAGACTGGTTTTCATGCTCTGTGGTGGACAAAAAAAGGCAAATGACTCAGTACAATTTGTTCTGTTTTTTGTTTATTTTTCTTGTTTTTCTTCCTCCCTTAGAGGCTTCAGGTTATAGATGGCTGTCATACTGTACACAGACACTTGCTGTTTACACATGGCTGCGACCTAGCTGATTCTAAAGTTCATGGGTTCAGTTCATCGGGTGTTGCATTAACTTTTAGTTCCCACTAGAAAGAATATTTTCTTCCTCAATCTCCAGCTTTCTCTCTGAGCATACTACTTTATTTCATACCTGCTCTCTTTTATTTCTCGCTCTGTTAAATTGCCTGCACTTTATTCACATATTGTTCTCCTGACAACAGCAAACAACAATATTTGGAATCAGGGAGATGAAACTCTACAGTAGATGTGTTTCTATTTTCCATACATAATGGTGTATTACACAGTATTAATTTAACATGCCTCAGTGTATTTCTGAGTACCACACCGCTGTGATGTGTTGACTTACCCATCATCATGTCATGATAGGCATTGTCAGAGATGGAGAAGAGATGGGGAGGCACCTCATTGCGCTTCTTTCCCTTGAACATCTGGGCAACTTTTGACCCATAGATGGGCAGCCACCTGTAAGGGTTGATGGTCACGCAAAACAACCCCGAATACGTCTGGAGGAAAACAAGTCACATTTACAGTTAATTGTAATTCAGAAATTAATTAGTTGGGGTTGTGGCTGTGGTTAAAGGGTAGAAGGGGTGATTTAAATACGTTTCACTTCTTTATATTCCATACTGAATAGAAAAGACACGTAAGGTACACATCATAGATTACTACAAACATGTGCCAAAGAACGGGGTGTCTTGGGAGTGTTTTATTATCTCAGGCAACATAGCAATGTTAAACAGCCTTCAAGAAAATTGGCTCTGGTCATTGTAAAGGTAGAATACTGTATTACAAGACAGGGGCTTACAGTATATTATTAATTTCTTTTAACATCTCTTTAATGTTAATTCTAAATGTGTAATTGTTAACATGAAGAGAAAAAGATTTGCCTCTTTCTTAGCTATGACTTTGAGCATATCTTCAGCTAAAATAAAATTGTTTTCCTGCAGATGTGAGGCATACTGTACTATGAACTCTCCCTGTTGGGTTCATTTGCAATTTCATGGACACATTTTAGAAAAGAATCTTAAATATACTGTATATTGAAAGGGTCATCAACTGTGCGTGTTTGAACAGGGCTCCCTGAGGCTCAGGACTTACATAGATTCTCATAGTGATGTAACGTGAACGCAGGTTCTCCAAAACACTGGCTTCATTCAGGAAGGTCAGGTTAGCCATGTCACTAGCCTGGTAGAACTTGGGAGGATTCATCTGCTGTATATCATCTTTTTTCAAGGTGAGAGTCTGGAGAAAAAAAAAGAAATAACAAGACTTACTTTTGTGGTTGATCTGTACAGTTAAGCAGTCATGTATTATCCAGCTGGGGGGAGGGAATAAAAGATGGAATAAATTGGTTCTTGCCCTCCTGTATATTAAGTGCTATTGCATCATTTGGGATGAAAACCTCAAGAGTGAGGTTTTTGCTTTGTGTGGTTTTGCACTGCATAAAATAAAGTGCACTATTTCATATTTCACGGCTGCCTACTGTATATATGGATAGCTGCTATTTGAGCAACACCCATGGGCCTGCCACACAATCTAAATGAACAAATGACAGGAAAAAAATATTCTTAATTATTTAATTAATCCAACATCCATTACATTAATATAAATGGAATATTGCTGAAGATGGTGAGACAATGTATCTATTACACAATGACCAATTGATACAACCTGGAACAGGTTTCCCAGCCAGCTAGCTGAGGCCCAAATCTTTCAGAAATGACTGGGTGAAACTTTTGTTTCCCTTAAAAATTAAAATACCAAAAAAAAACAAAATAGACTGAACAGCCTTGTCTTGTGTGCACTGTTATGTTTTAAATGCTTTCAATCAAATTTAAAACTACTATGCAAACACCATTACCAAAGCCAAAGAGAAATAATAATAATCAGTATTACATATGACTGTATCAGATTGTTTACTGTAGATTACAACAATAGAAAATAAAAGTTCAAAATGAAAGACTTCCACAGACCTGGAAAACATAAGAATGTTTTGTTCTGACCGTAGGAAGATTATAGTAAATATATGTTAGCAGGTTGGTAGAGGTGTGTATTAAGTATATGTAGTACATATTTAAGGAAGAAAAACGGTATAATTGTTGGTTAATATTGAAACTTCACTTGTTCCTGCAACATCACATAAACAATGCTTTTTTTCATCCCTTCTCTCCAATACAAGCAGACAAAGTGAGTCTACTACAGCAGACAAAGAGAAATTGGGATAGGATAGACACACACACACTCCCATAGAGATGCCAATTAACCTAGATACTATACAGGACTGTGGTAAGAAACCCATGCACCTGGCCAAGAAGAAAAGTAATCAAACTCCAAACAGTACCTACTCAGGTTGGAAATAAGTTGAGGACTCAAGAGCTATGAGGCAGTAGCACTAATCACCATGCTGTACATACCCACGTCACCCATTCTCGCTCCACAAATCATGAAATGCTTGCTTGGTTAGTTCTTCTTCTCCAACTAGCCAATACCTTTGCATGCAAACCTATTTTGTGACAGGCCTGTACATGGGACCTGTGACCTGTTGGCTCTGTCTGCTACTTACAGTGTTCTTGGCGGTCTTCACAGTGACTTGATCACCCTTGTCTCCCTGGATTTCTGCTGCAATGAAACCTTCCTTTTCGTCCTTCACCCAGCAGGACTTCTTGATGTCGTAGGGCTTGCTCACGGCCTCCAGCTTCTCCTTCTCCGAAGGAGCCAGGAAAGGCATAGGGTCCACATCGTCCCCACACTCTCCTTTATAACCTCCTGGCATGGTGAGTAACTCTCCGAAAGCAGAAGAAGAAGCAGAAAAGAGAATTCAGGATACCTCCCGGACTGAGGCTGCAAAGAAAATAGACCAAAATATTTCAAAAGCATGGAACTGCCAGGTGGTCCTATTCTCAACTCAATAACTCTATTGTTAAAACTTAAGACATGCTAATTACCACAGACCGTAAAATTTCCAAGACTGTACTACAGGGGATATGTTCTTCTGCTGTGACAAAAAATACTAATGTACACAGTACCAGGGAAATTGCACTAGTTCTGCATCTAAAGCTTTTCTTTCATTTCAATCAAGACAGTGAGCTGTTTTACAAAGCTTATCTTAAAAAAAAAATGCAAATTTAAGATGTATAGAATTGCAAATGTAAGATAATTTATAAAATAGCAGCCTAATACAGATCTTTAAGTCTGGTTGCTAATTGAATTGCAACAATTAGTAATATAATATTTCAGAAATAAACTTTTTTTATCTCTTAAAGGGATTAAGAGAGAGTAAAACTTCCAGAAAATCCCATTTGATGCCATGTATATGTGCAGTTGATTTACCTGATTACTTACCAGAGAAAGACCAACAGTGAGACTGAGAGAGCTAGTTGATGATGCTGGATGTTTTGGAGGATCCTTTATATATGGTCTTCTGGTACTCGTGATTAAGGAGTAACTATTAAAAAAGTCATTACAAAAGGCTCAAGCAGCAGCCTTGGTCCTGCTGGGAAGGATCAGTTGATGCTCTGGTGTTTGGGGAGTTCTTCTTTCTTCTTTTACCCTTTATGGGAAGCTAAAGAAAGACATCTTCTGCTTTGGCTACTCTCTGCGCCAGGAATATTAAGAAACTCATTTATGAATTTGCCATGCTTACACTTTCAAAACACTTTGAAAAAAAACATTTTTTAAAAGAAGCACATTTTTTTGCTTTATAAAAATATGATTTGTGTGTAAAAATATAATACAAACTATTATGAAATCCAGTAAATATAAGTCTATCATAATCTTTATTTTTCTTGTTGTTGTTTAGGTTCTATCCTTGCTTTGGTTTTTTTGTTCTGCTACAGAGGGAGCTACTTTTGAATTATTAATCTATATTTGTTTAATTAGTCCCTTAATGCATCCTTGTGGTTTGCTTTTAATGTATTTTGAACAACCCTTTCAAAGGTTTCAGCATTTGTGGTAGTGTGAATATGCAAATAAAATACAATGTATTGCAGCCATAAAATTGTGTTGTCCAAAGAATAACCAGTACCTACATTTGACAATTATCCATAGAAATGAAAGATTTAGACACCTTGTTAAGAAGTTTATTTAATGCTTTGTGGATGAGGCAGGAGCAAAAGTCCCATTCTCAGCTGTTTCTCTCTTTCCCTGGAGGAGAATGCCACAGGCCTCCCTGAGGAGACAGTGAGAATTACCAACATATTCTGCTCTGCCAGAAACCACAGGCAGAGGAACAATTTGCCCTTTAAAGTTTACAGAACTATACTGCTTTTTTAAGGACTTTATATAGAACAGGGGTTAGCAACCTTTCAGAAGGGGGGTGCCAAGAGATAGTTCCTGAACGTGGTTTTATCGATTCGGGTGCAATTGATACTTTTTAAATGTCAATACTAACATTTTGATTAATAAAAATAATATTAAAATTAATAAATGAATATGGATGGATTACCGTTAAGTGTGATCCTTGCCCTTTAACTTGCATGCTAGCCTCTGAGTGTTCAGATGTTAACTGACTATAAGAGGGACAAAGAACTGACTTCATGTGTAAAAATACCTGTTCACAGGTTGATCCTAATGCTGAGAACAGTGAAAATACCAGTTTCTTCAGACAGTCAAATTTCACTGAAAGGGACTTCCAACAGGTCACAATAGAGGTGCTGTGTATGCTTTCAATAGCCTTAAGCAGCATTATGTGTGTTTCACACATAACTCAGAACTCCATAAGTAACAGACCACAAACAGTGTGGTCTTTATGTTGAACATATCCATAATAATCTCTCTGAAAGGGTTTAAATGAGCAAATATCTCATTTTGCTTTCTAAGCAACTGAGGTTTTGTCCAAAATGTTTTACTTTACACCTGGTATAGATCCTATTTCCTACTTCCCAGTAATATAAGTTAAGAAATTACAACATGATTGAATTCAGGCATCTTCACTTTTAAAATAGACGGTACCTTTTGCACATACAGTATGCATCTCATTGAGCTGAGTTATTGTCATCTGTTACTGTGTGGTAATGAAGGGGAGCTATTATAAAGCAAATCAATGTAATAATATTAAAGGAGATGTCTCCTTCTGCTTAGGTAGTGGGGCCTCACTCAAGTGTGTCACACACCTAAAGATGACTCCACAGCTGAAATGCACTTGCCAGGAGTGTCACAAACCTGAAGAAAGGCCAAAGCCTTGTTTTTTTCTTTCTGCTCCTATGCTACTTTGCAACTCGCACACCGGTGCAGACACTCGAACCTCTATAACGAGTTTAACTTAAATTCAGAGTACAGAATGGGAAACATTATAACATATAGCACCTAAATTGGTGCAGAGCTGTGGAAATACTAAAACTGGGTACTTAATAGATCTAGGGGTATGAAATGTCAACACCCCAGGGAGGATGTTTTTCTCGGCTGATGCTGTTATGCTACCAATTGCCAGGTGATGAGTGAACTGAATGAACACACAGCAGACATCATCATTCAAATCAGTTTATTAAGAATGAAGAGCCCTATTACTTAGGCAGCAAGCATCGTTTAACATCTCTAGATGTTAAAGTGGGAAAAGGTCTGTGGATGACTCTTCGTTAAAAAACGTATTTATACATTTTCTGAATAGAATGTTTAAAGTTTTCAAAGGTAACAAAACTCCCATATGGATAAATCCATAAATCAATGCTTAAAAGTCATAAACAGCATCTTTTTCAACTACAGTGATGAATATGTCTGATTTAAATCTTAAGGTAATAATATAAATACATCGTATATTGTTTTATACATAATACAGTTTATAAGAATAGCTCACTTTGAAATACTGTATGGTGCCGTTAGGAGGTGTTTTGTCTTTCGTGTTTTAAAAACTAACATAACGTAAGTTTCAGTTTAGAATATAGTAGCGTTATTTTAGAAGTGATTATTTCTACAAACACTTTTTAAAAATACAACTAGTATTAGCATCCTATTAGAATGGGAGTGGCTTCTTTCAAACAGAAGAGAAAAATCCCACCTGTTACGATTTTGGTGCTCATCACCTGCACATATAAACACACAAACAAAAATGGCGATAGTTGAATTTTGACCAGAGTGGACAGACCTTGAATAGTTTGGAAGATAGCTGAGGTAGATTAGCGTTCTATGTAAGATAAAATTAAAATTTAAGAAAGTTTAATTTGAGTAAATAGCCGTAACGTGACCTACTGAGGCAGCAATGCACATGTCTCAGTGCGTTATTGGATTTAGAATTGAACAAAAAATGTCCGGTTTCTTTCGGTTACAGCTTTGCGTTGTGTATATTTCAGTTACTGTAATGTACTTGTTTCTGTGTTAAGGACTAGCGAGACGAATTCAATGAAGGTTTATTTTTTTGGTTTCGTAACAAAAAAACTAGACCTTCATTTAATGCCGGTGTGTCACGCTAATGAATTGTTCGAGGCCAATTGTTGTAGGCTTTTTTTAATCGTAGTCTACAAGTACTGGATATAACTGTATAAGTAGCTCTGCTGTGAATTTAGGTTTTCACCATTTATTTCAGGAGCCGAAATGCCCACGTACGAAGAAGACGAGCGACTTGCTAAATTCAAAAATAAAGGCAAAGACCCAGCGGTGAGTTGCAAGATCTCGGTTTCGATGAGCCATTGAGAGCGTTTTCTTCTAAGCGGTGCCAGCAGTTGATTTTCACTTTTACAGGCACTTGAATGTTTATTTAATATTCAGTTTTCTCAGTGTGTGCATATATATATATAATTTTAAAACAGAAACTCAGGCGACAGAGGATAGAAGCTAGTATTGAACTCCGGAAAGCCCAGAGGAACGAGAATATCTTGAAGAGGAGAAATGTTTCTTCACTGCCGAGTGATGAACCGCTTTCTCCAGAACTCAAGTGTCCGAATCCGCAGGTAACTTTATGCATTGTAATAAAGTTGCAGCTGAAGTAAGAGCTCTTAAATTATGTTTATACCAGGGGTTTCCAGTCCTAGTCCTGTAGGATCTCTAAAACGGCAGCACCTGAGGAACTGGAAGAAGCTATTAAGTTGGTTTAAGCTCATTAAATGTTGATTTGAAATGAAAACCCACAGACCTGCCCTTCAGTACCAAGATTAAACAGCATGGTTTGGACAGATGTAATCTGTTGAGCAACATCAATTGTATACATCATTCTGCTGCACCTTTTTCCTCTGCTGTGATGAAAGTGAAGTGATTCCACTTCAGGGTAATTTCAGGCAAAGGTCTGCCTGATTCTCTGGTTTCACTGCCCTCACAATGACCGCAGGCTGGTTATACTTGGTACACTGTCATCTGAAAGGCAGGAGATTCATTGGCATGCAGTTTCATGTTAGTGAGTTCTTAGTGTAATCTCTTCAGCAGACGGTAGTCCCAAAGCTGGGTGAAGCCTGTGTTTATTTGATGGTCTAATCCAATAGTGACAACTTGGTTTCTTCCTTAGTCTATTGCAGCCACCCTTCAGGAGATTGTCAGCTGCGTTAACAGTGACTGTAAAGAACGACAAACCCGAGGGACTCAGGCGGCAAGGTACTGCCTAAACCTGTAATATCCACAGTGGGATTTTTCTAACTGAAGCCAAGCTGAAAAGTGGTGATCTCTGATGGTACAGTAGTTGCCAGTTGGGTATGAAATGTCCAGGGCTGTGGCTCCTGAGCCTGGTCTTGAGGGTACACTCTGCTGGCTCCCACCTGAGCTCTAAAACTCCAGTGTCATTTGTTCAGACATTTAAGTTGTCAAGCAAGCAGATCAATTAACTTTCTTCAGTCCAGTGTGCCAAATATCCTGCTTAAAGGACTGTTTGCAACAACTTTAGCATACAGAGCTTTTTGAAGCCTCCCTGCACCTTGCTGGCAATAGCTCTAACTAGTTTATCAATTGTACCAGACAATTCTCATGCATTACCCAAGATATTTCTTCTGCAATTTCCCTCACGGGATCAATAAAGTATCTATAAACTTTCAGGCAACATCTGAATGAGGGCATTTCTGAAAGTTGGAAATAAGTACAGTACAGGGTTGATGGCAATTGCAAATCCTGTCTGACCTTTTTTTAACTTAAATCGAACTTGCAAAATTTGGGATCCTTGGCAATCATCCTACACCTGCATTCATTGTATGGAAATGCACTGAAATTTCAGGAGTTTTTCCTCCAGGAAGATTTACATCCTAAAATGCCTTAAGTAAAGAGACCCTTCACTTTTTGCCTTGGCAATTCTAAATCCTTATTGCCTTTTTGATAAAACTGTGCAAGTAACTAACCAAGCTAGATCTTGCTTCTGTGCATTTCACATTCAAAGTGAAGTTTGCAACAACCTACTCCTCAATTCAAATGATTTTGAAACTATTTTACCAACTTAGATTGCCTTTCTCTCCCCATATGACTGTACTGTATGTGCATTTTACTGTATGCTGTTATCTTGACTGTCAAGTGAATGTTTCCCTCCCAATAGGAAACTCCTCTCCCAAGAGAAATCCCCACCCCTGCAGGAGGTCATTGACATGGGACTGATTGATTGCTTTGTGGAGTTTCTGGGCAGGGATGATGAGCCTGCTCTTCAGTTTGAGGCAGCCTGGGCCCTTACCAATATTGCCTCTGGTACCTCATGGCACACACAGCAGGTTGTGGAGCATGGTGCTATACCTAAATTCATTTCCCTCCTGTCTTCACCATTATTGCACATCAGTGAGCAGGCAGTGTGGGCCTTGGGAAATATTGCAGGTACTTTTATTACTACTCACCTGTTTGAAATAAATTGCGCATGAAATCAAAATGAGTTTTTAGGACAGACTGTTAATTTAGAATTTTAGCAGCCTACTTGTTTTGTTTTTTTTATGGGGGGGAATGCATAACAAGGGTACCTTAAAATTCAGATCTTTAAGGGCCCCAGTGTAGCTGGTTTTTCTAGATGGTGTTGGCTTTAACCAGTTTAACCTTAATTTGACTAAATTGTAGTCTATCATTGGGCTTATTGGAGATGGAAATAATTGCTTTATCGGGTCTTAAGTCTCTTGTTTTTGACGGGTGATGCAATGAACCTTTTTTTGTTCCAGGTGATGGTCCAGCATATCGTGATGCTCTCATTAACTGCAACGTTATCCCCGCCTTGCTTGTGAAAGTGACACCTGACACCCCAGTAAGCACTTCTCACTTTGCACTCTGTAATGGATTGCTGTCAGGGCCATGAATCATGTTCATGTTACTGAATATTTTTTACTTGCGTCTTGCATTTCCCCAAACCACCAGAATCTCTTGTTTTGGCAGATTGGTTACCTGCGCAACCTGACCTGGACCTTGTCAAACCTATGCAGAAACAAAAACCCTTACCCTCCTCTGTCTGCGGTGCAGCAGGTCCTGCCCACACTGATGCAGCTACTTCATCACGAGGACAAGGAAATCCTGTCTGATGCTTGCTGGGCCATGTCCTATCTCACTGATGGGTCAAATGACCGGATTGATGTAGTGGTGAAGACTGGCATTGTACCAAGACTTGTGGCCCTGATGGGGTTCAAAGAACTATCAGTTCTGGTAAATACCATTTGTATTTAGTCGTCATAGGAAGAGCCTTGTGCTGCTTGTGAAGAGATCCAACCCATATCCATTTGTAATGTTGCTCCAAACCATCTTAATGCATTTTAGGCAGAAAAGAGGAAAAACCTAGGCGTGGAGATGTACAGAGAGGAAGGTCTGACTGATTTGTCTCGGTACAGCTCCAGTTTTGCAATTGTTAATCATTGATGTTCCATGTACTGTATAATATTCATTGATTATTGGTGTTCCTAATGAGTAGTGATTAGAGAAAGGAGTCAAATATGCCTCTTCCAAAATGCCTTTCAAACAGCTTGGATATTGGGTCTAGTTCTGAAAGTACAAATTCTTTGTAGACCCCAGCTCTCCGGTGCATTGGGAATATTGTAACTGGAACAGATGTGCAGACTCAGACTGCCATAGATGCAGGCGTGCTGTCTGTCCTGCCACAGCTTCTGCGTCACCCAAAACCCTCTGTGCAGAAGGAAGCTGCCTGGACTGTGTCCAATATTGCAGCTGGACCTTCACCACAAATCCAGCAGCTCATAACGTGTGGCCTTCTCCTGCCCCTCATTGATCTCCTCAGAAATGTAAGTGCAAAGCATGTTCTCAATTCGCATAATTGGTCATGTACACAATTTTGCCTTCACCTTTGATACCCCAGTGTTTCCCTTTTAACTGCTGTTTGGCATGAAGTGCCAGCAGGTGGCAGCATTCAGTCAAGGATCGTTGGGTGAATATACTTTTGCAAAATAGCTGTATACGTAACACCTATAGTTTTACAACAATAGGATGCATATAAAATCCTCCTGCTTCAAGAAATGGGATTTTGGGCTAGTTTTTTCAATGCAAAAAATTCTTTACCAGCCCATAAGGTTAATGGGTTCTACCAGCTTGTGCTTCTTATGGAATTTAAGAGAATCTGTGGACATTAATGTAGATTAATTCTGAATTTTGCAAGTGTAAGTTACTCTAAATGCACACAGGTGATGATAAATGGCCAACTAACCATATGCTCTTCAGGGGGACTTCAAATCCCAGCGTGAGGCTGTGTGGGCCATCACCAACTACACAAGTGGAGGCACTGTGGATCAAGTTGTCCACCTTGTCCAGAGTGGGGGTTTAGAGGCCCTTTTGCATCTGCTGCAGATCAAAGACAGCCGAACCATCCTGGTCATCCTTGATGCCATCAGCAACATCTTTCTGGTAGGTAATTTTGAGGAGAAAAACTCCAGAGTACTTAGGCCAGGCCTTAGTATTAAACCTCGGAGTGTGTTCCTCCTAGACTTAAGGAACACAAATGAGACATGAAGGTGTGTCCAATAGGGCAGTGGTTCTCAAACTGTGGTACGCGTACCGGTTGTGGTACGTGGAGTGCCGCCAAGTGGTACGCCAAATGACCCTGGAACTGTGTCCTTTGCGCTGGAAAATAGGGACGGGTTTTCATATTTTGTATTTTAATTTGTCGAATACGCAGCCTACATACTACGATACAGTGTGCGCTAATACTTCAGTGGACACAAGAGATGCTCTGTAATTCTATACCACTCTATAGGAATGCGTGCTACGGATGCAAGTGACCAATTGTATTTTAAAAAAAAAGCTACTGTATCTCCAGCAAATGGGGAGAAAGGAGAATGTGCGTGATTTTTGGAACTATGCCAACGTTCTAAACACAAGAATGCATAGAAATAGGTGCTACGAACGCAGGTAATCTTGTGAGCACATGAAAGCGTGATAACAGAAAAATATTTAAGAACTGTTCTAATTTGAGAAAAATACACCGAGCGTCTCTGTGTTTCGCTCCCATGCGCATGAAATAAAAATTTTAAATGCATATGGAAATAAAAATGCAAGCTTGCGTATTGCTAAAGCAGGTAAGCTACACTATTTCTGAAGAACCTTATTTACCGTTGGCAAAAGACCTGACACGTATTGTGTAGAGAAAAAGCTGCTAAACAGCTCGACCTGCTGCCCCCCTCCCCCTGAAAGACAGTCATTCATAGAATTATTGAAATGAAGGATTATATCAAAAGTACACTGATAGAGCGCGTTAAGATGAGCAGATGTTTTTCACTGCAATTAGATGAGTCTGTAGTCGATTTGGCCAATTTGCTCATTTACGTTAGATACGAGTTTTAGGGCATGTCCCATGAAGACTTTCTGTTCTGTAAACAGCTACCAACAGGAACTACAGGAGAGCACGTATTTGCCTTTGCCATCAAGAAAATGCCTGACTATTTAATATCTGTTAGACTCTGTTGTGAATTGTATCAAGGCTCGAAAAATTAATTCACATCTGCTTTGCTCAACTGAACAGGCTCACCTCTCACTGAAATGGTGCTTTTTTTATTAGTTGTTTTTTTTTTCTGTAAAACACTTTGAGAAGCCACCTTTAAAGGCGCTATATCAAATAAATTTTATTATAATAAATATTATATGTGTGTGTGTGCACGCGTGCTCATGTTGGTCATTGAGAATTTCTGGGGTTCTGAGATGATGACTTGTAGGTGGTACTTGGATGCTTTGGTTGGATTAGGGGTAGTACTTGGTCCAAAAAGTTTGAGAACCACTGCAATAGGGCATAGATGCAGTCTCATTGCTTGGAGAAAGCCGCTTGATCTTTTGGGTGATTTTAAGAATTGACACCTTATGTCAGTTAAGTGATGCTTAATAGATTTATACATGGTATAATCAGGAAGTGAAAGCTTTTGGTGATGGATGATTGGGGAAAATACTGCCCTGCTTAACTTTTAAAAGCAGGATTTTTTGGGGGTTTTTTTTTCTGATGTGAGACTGCAGTCTTGCTACTTTTGGAACTGCTCCATTGCAGGCCTCGGAGAAGCTGGGGGAAACAGAGAAGCTGTGCCTGCTGGTGGAGGAACTGGGAGGGCTTGACAGAATAGAGCTGCTGCAGAACCACGAGAATGATTCTGTGTATCGAGCAGCACAGGCACTGATAGAGAAGTACTTTAATGAGGTAAGCCTGATCAAAAGCTACTGTACCTTCCTGCATTGCCCATAATTTCATTTTGTGTATATGTATGGCTTTTTTATTGGAGGTGCAGCATATTGAAAAGGGGAAGATAATTACTTTGTCCTTGGGGAGGGAGCAAGAGACCCTAACTGATACTCTTCATAATATACCTTTTGATTTTCCTTACTTTGCAAGGAAATGTAAGTAGAATTTTGCCTGAAATATCAAAACCTTTGTTCCAATGTAGCAGCTATTAAAGATGCTCCTAACAGGATTATTTTGAACCCCAAAAGCCAGCTTTATATTCTTCAAAGTCTGCAGAAGGATCCAACTGTACGTAACACCTGCCTTCTTAATGAGCGTGTGTGGTTTGCTCTGGAGAGAGGCAAGTCCTAACCCCAGACATGCTTAGTCCTTTTGTCTACTTGGAATGTAGTTATAATCCATACATGGATTACTGCATTGAATCAGCACATTTGGGTGATTTACACTATTTAAAGGATTGTTTACATGATCAGATTAATGAAAACTGTCTGAGACTATAATCTTAGAAATGGAAAATGTCAAAACCTAAAAGACTACATATACAAAAATTGTATAGGGCTAAAAACTTAGTGGGTTCTAAATTATGGGTGTTATTCATCTCTACCAGTCATGCAAGGATGATTATAATTGGGTAACACTAGAGGGCTGTATAGAACATTGTGAAATGTTGACCTGTAGACTAAACCTTTCCTTCTGCCGTGACCCATTTCTCATCTTGTGAAAATCTTAAACCTAGGAGTCGGATGTGGAATGCCTGAAAACGGAAGCCACCAAAAGCAGTTACATTTTCCAGCCACAGGAGGTGGATAAAAAATTTAATTTCTGAACTTCACCATTCAGAACCTTAAGCCCTTTTCCTCTTAAATGGCATTGGGGGTGAAAAAAAGGTGTAGAACAAGTTGTTTTCTTTTTTACTCTCCATATCTTTGTATTGTGTGAATTATTGCATTCTAAGTAAATGGATAATAAAGTATTTTTGAAATGCATGTTTAACAGTATCAAGTGTTTCTAAATCCTATCTTCACTTCTTGTCCACATGAAAACCTAGTATCCATCATGGCTCGCATGGTGGGCATGCTTCTTCCATGTTGTGGTTTTTCAGTAAAATGGATGACTGACTGTAGGTCTTTTAACTTGTAGACCTTGGCAAGACTTTGCTATTAAACACTAAGCTCTGTTAAATGGTAACATGGCTAAATGTCTTAATGCATAAATTGGTAAGGTATTAAAGTTTAAGTGTAACCATCCTGTTGAATTCCCAAAAAGTGATTTTCTGAGTTACATAGGCATGGAGTTAACTAGTAACCCAAATTCCACATCTTTTTATCGATGTGGAAAAGAAATGCAAAGTATTGCATTTGTATCCTCTGGGATCCGGTTTTCAGAATACTAACATTTCTGCATGATAGAAATCAGGTGAAATATCTGAAGCTATTTAAATCCCTCATAATGCAAGTTGTCTTAAAAAGAAGACTATGATATGCTTGAGAAATTTCTGGAAGTGAGAATTCTGGTTAAATAGTTGCATTTAGAGGTTGTATGATGAACATTCCAGTTTGCCGAAGTGGAAGCGATCTTGCTCAGTGGAAAGACTATCCTGGCTACCTATTAAAATGCACACCTGAGAAAGCTTTCAAATTCCCAGTAAGATTTTGAGTAGCCTCACCTTCACATGTGGTACTGCAGGAAATGTTTTACCATTCCTGATGTGTGGGATTACTTCCCCATGTCGCCTGATCTGAATTCTGTTTTAAGAGAAGCCCATTTTCCTTCCGTGTGGATACCTGAAGGAATAAGCATAGATGACACCTAAGAATTTAAAGGTAGCAACTGAGTTTTCACCTGACTCTCTTCAGGATCTATTCACACTCCGATTTTGATTTGAGGAACTCCAGCGTGACTCAAGTTACAAAGGTGTAATCTTGGAACACAGCCTGGCTTCTCTGCTCCAAATATACTGGTTGGGGAAAAACTCTGTATCTCATCCAAATCCTCTGAACAAACAGAACCACTAGAGCAAATCAGACAGGATATTAAAGGGAGAGGGCTGGGATTAGATGGTGAGGGTGCTCTGGATTTTCTGCCAAAGGGACTACACAGACCTTCAAGATAATGGTTACCTCACTGAAAGGTGCTTGTCCAATCGGTACTAATTTGTCTAACATGGTAATGCAATTGGGGCTTTACCGTGAAGCTGTAAAATGGGTCACAGGCTAATTCCAAATTATGGTTATGTAAATGTAATTACTAGAACAATAAAGGAGAAATGTTAGTTTGAAATAAGGTAAACATCCCCAGTGTTTTAAAGCACTTGCATTGATTAAAACTCTACATTCATGCAATATCTGATTAACAATGGGTCGTACAATTAAAAATATTTCCCCTATATACAATTCTATAATGTGCGCTGACAGCCTGCATGTCTTTGGCAATAGTGCCACATATAGATCTCTTCCTCAAACCTCCTTGGTCCTCCTACTGTATACAATACAGCATAGTATATATATGACTTGGATTGACATTGTTGGGTAATCCAATCTCTTTACATTTTTTCTGTTTAACCTATTTCCAGTCCATTGTGTTACTTTGGAATGCTCCTATATATCCATCTGTGTCATCAACTTGAGACTAATTTATGCTGTTTTTTTTGTATTAGCTCAGATGTTTATGCAATGGAAACTACTTGATCTAGAACATGTACTGCTAAATGCTCACTGGTTTCAATGAGTTTTAAAATTGTATTGGTTCTGCAAAATCATATTCCTGTTATATATTTCATGTATCTTATATATGTATGTTTTTGACAGATACAGTTGAATACATGTTGAATTGAATGACTGTGTTGCGAGTAAGTTATCTTGCTCAGTGAACATATGGTTAGAGTGTGTAGGTTTGCTTCTGCTCTGGCCTGGATTTGTAAATAAACAAGTAGACATCTATGGCCAGCTATGCAAATTTGTAAAATGCAGAAACCATGTGTTTAAGTATAGAGTATGCTTGATTACTCTTTTCCAATTGCGTTTGTAGCCTTGCAAATATAGTACTTGGGAGCATTTTGCAATTGGATATCAGAAAGATGTGCATTTTTGTTTTTCATTTTCCATGTGACCTAAATGTATACAATCTATTTTTTTGCAACTCATTTGTAAATACTGAGTATGTGTGTTTTTTCATTCTGATCTATGTGCTTGTATAGTTCTTCCAATTAAATATTTTTCAAATATGGTTAATTTTGTGGAATGTGGTTCTCACGATTCCTAAAGAATGCAGTAATGTTTAAAACCTTGACCGGTGTTTGAACCACAGGCAGTATGGCAGTCAGAATCCTTGTTTGTCTTGTGGGGATTGTTTCCCTGTACATTTTGTCAGAGGAAGCCTTTGTTTCATTGATAGCTAATTCTTTGCAATCCACAATGAAGCTCAACCTGTTGATAAATAAAATGCCCTTAACTCTTTAGTTGCACATTTTTACATTTTAATTATGTAGGTCAAAGACGCCATTTTGTTTCTCTGTGGCTTTATGAATGTAGTAACTATCTGCAATGGCATGGTGTTTAGGATTCATGTCTTGCCAGCAAGACTCTTAAGTTTTATGGTGTAGCTTAAGGCGAGAATAAGGGAATGATTTACTATTGTTTTTACGAAATTCCTTTTGAGCAGGTGCTTCATGGAGGAGATTCTCATTTCTCATTTAATCATGTTATGAGTCATGGAAGTGAAATAACTCATCAAGACTGACAAGTGATTGAGATCAGGCATTTAATTTAATTTAATAAAATAATTCCATAAATTGAAGTGACGAGTAGCAGAAAAACCTTGATGTTCACATTATTTTGGTTTAACCAATAGATGAGCTTGACTGGAAAAAAATAAGTTGCAGCGTTTAGATTATGTAGGTGGTTATACCACAAAATTATCAATATAATTAGGTGAACAGCGTCTTTAAATTGATAGGGGAGCAGTCACTTAACTCATTTTTGCAGCCGAACTTTACATAAGATTCTTCCATGAAAGCTACTGCAAGACGCATCCCATAGAGCTACACTGAAACAGGCTACCAGCCAGCAACAATTAGCATGTAATGGGGATTCTACAAGTTGCCATGGTCTTGCACACTGTTGCAGATCGCTGGGCCTGGAGCAGTCCCACCAGGCAGGAACTGTAGTCGTCTTGTGTATTGCCCAAATTAAACTGGGTGCGTGCTTTCACAAAATCAAAAACTCACTGAAAGAACTACTGTACATCAGCATATGACCAGACTTTCTGCAGGCCGGATACCAAAGTTATGCGCCATTATAATTCTGTTTTTGGACAGGAAATGAGTCACAGTTATTTAAAAAGTTTCTTTACTGTAGGTGCACTCACATGCCCTTTCCCAACAGCTTGTAAAGAATGTTTTAGCCTGATGAGAACCTGCTTTGTGTCTGGTATCAATTAGCTGGAAGGTGGGTGCAAGTGATTTTATTTGACTTGAGAAAGAAACTTGGATATTTTTAAAAAAATATTTAAAAGAAATCCCCACTCAAAATTTTGTTTGCCAATATGGTGTGGAATATTATACTTTTACAAATGAGGATATGAATGTCTTTTTATGTTTTAAGACTTTTTCATTACATACAGGGGTTCACTTGTTTGTGGATTCAATACAATTATATAACAAATGCAGATGTCAAACTTTTTTAAAAAAAATCTTGTACTTGAGAATCTTATACTACACTAAGTACATTTTGATGTGGATGAAACATGGTTTTCAGTAAACTATTATTTCCTAAATCACATTATTCTTTAAGAGCTGGTTTACTCTTTGTGAATATTAAGATGCAAATCTATATTAAATAAAGCTATTTAAATTGACCTCTATATGTACTTTATGTAGTTAAATAAGTTTAATTGAAAAACGCTATGAAGCTGATCCCCGAAATAAATTAATGTATCATCATCTTGACATTAAATACGGCTGTCCTGCTGCATACAATTTGTAAATCCTTAAGGGCGTCGAATTTTCACAACAGCTGAGTCAATAGTATTTGGTAAAGATGTTTATGAGTGTACTGACGGGCAGGTTAAGGACGTTAAATACTTCTTAAAGAAATATTTGCATTACTCAATTATAACGGGTGCGTAACATTTTTTGGACTGTAGCGAATTTCAGTATATTAAATTCAATAATTCTTAATATATATATATTTAAACAAAAGCATATTAGGGTATTTAGTATTTTAAACATCAAAACTAAGACTATTAAAATAATCCAAGCAGTCATCAAGAGTGGTATCACATTAAGAGAAAGTCGATCCAGGATGTCATACAGAACACACTTAATTTACAACACGTTAAAACGACTATAATTCATGTAACACAAATATTTCGGATGTCATTGTGTATGGGACGTTTCCATTTTGTACAGCACAAGACGTATTCTTGTACTAACTAAAAACATGAGACGTTTTGGAAATCTACTTATCGCCCTTTGAAATGGATTCTGGCGTGTTAACCAAAGTTAGGAAATTAATTTCCCCCATAATCCACACATGTAGCTATGCATTTTCCATATACTCCGAAATGTTGTAAAACGCCAATTTAAACGTATTGAGGCACACATCCCATTTCTGCACAAAGGTAGTTGCGTTCGTGTGAGTACGCCTACTTACTGTTAGGCATGGCATTGACATTGAGATTTTTACAATGCAAACACACCAAGCTTGGGGGGCGCCGCCTCTCTCTTAAGAAGTAGACGGACACGACCCCTTTCCTCGCTTTTCCTTTGTCATCCAGCCCCTGCCTCCCCCTGTCCCGAGCAGTCGGGACCGCTCTGACACCTCGACGCCACAGTCGTGTGCGTGCACGTCCCGCCGTGCTGCGCTGACGTCAGAACGCCTTTGAGCTCGAAAATGTTTAGGAGCGTTATGCGAGCTGGGAGCTTTGGGGGATTTTCCGAGAAGGAAATAATAAAAATATACCCTTGATAAGCCATTCTAGAAACACCGTTTTGGTGTATTTTGTTTTTCCCGACAGTCTAGCTTCGTGGTGAAGTTTTAATCTTAGGTCAGACCTAAGGGAAAGTTAGCTATTTCTTTTCCGGAGTGATGTCGAATCCTGGGACTCGGAGGAACGGGTCTAGCATCAAAATCCGACTGACAGGTAAGCAAAAACACCATTGTTGTTAGGGGTTTGTGTTGCAGTTTTGTCTTTTAAGTCCGGCACCTCCACTTTTAATGCCATACACCCTAGTTGTGGGTGAAGAAGCCGGGTGTTTTTCATTGGAAGCCTTTTGTGGGCAGACCCCTTGCTGCACCAACCGAGGTGAAATAGCCGTAGACCTGGTAATTTCTCTACCATTGGCGATGAACCAGGCTTGCTGGGATCTGCTGTTGACGAGGTTGGCCCACTTTTTTGTTTCCTGCGATTTGGCAGAATTCATTTGTACAATAAGGACTTGCAAACAAACGATCTGTGCACGGGATGTAGGTGCACACGGCCCAGGATCACATTTACATCGGCCTCTTACAAACCTTTTTTTGTAACTTTTATGCATTTTTGCTGGACATCAGCATCAGTTGCATATCGTGAACACCTTGCATTTATGATCGTTTCCGCTTTAATGCTGTCATTTGCCTTTGCAATGTATTCTGCTGTCTGTAAATAAATGGAAGGGACACACTGTGCACAGGCGCACTCGGGCGGTGATGTCGCTTCCTTCCTGCCTGATTAGAGCGCCTGCTAACCCGTCTGTCCTTTTAATTTTCGAAGTGCTTGACTGATTTCGCTCCGGGGAGGAAGCTGCTCTGGCAGAGCCGGGATCGGAACCGGATCAGCCCTGCTGTGCAGAGCGGTGAATGATTTGCAGGACTAGTTCAAACTCGGAACTGCCGAGACGGAGGCAACAAGCTGACGCTCAGACCTGGCAGCCTGCTTTTGTGTGAAGTGTGTGTCTGCACTGTACATACATGTGTATGATCTAGGCCTGTCAGCTTTGCAGCCTGACTAAAACAGAGACCATGCCCATTCAGTTCCACTTAACAGAAATCTGTGGCCAAGTAAATCGGTCTTATTGTTCTCCAAATTAGATATATTCCCGATTGTCGGCGCATTTTTCCCCGAACGGATTACTAGGGCTGAGGTGCTGTAGAGAAGCTATGGTCAATGCACCAGTCTTCTGTTCCTGTGGGTCCGGAGGGTGTCAGCACTGTCTACTAGTACTGGAATCTCAATGGGGTTTAATCGCTGTTTTATGGGCCCTTCAGCTACAGTACATGTGAAAGACTCTTACAGACTACACTGCCGTTTTCCTCTACGTGGGTAGTTGCTACCATTGCTATGCAAACTGCGAAGCTTGCGGCCATGAACCCGAGATTCAGATTCTCATTATTATTTTAATTGTTTGTCTTTTAGAATCTGACAAAGTGCGTTAGAATTTTGTTACGGTCTGCGTGGAGTGTTAATGTGAGGCATGAAAAATCCCATAGGTTCATGTAGTGCATTCTTAACCCGGACAGACTTGGCCTGCAAACTGGGGCGTATTAGGGGCAAAAAAATGTTAATCGTAAAACCCAAAGCGTTTTATGGTTTAGCTTTGCTTGTCGGATTGACTCTTTGTTTTCTGTCTAGATCCAGCGACAGGGGTGGAGAATGTAACTGTCCAGCTGATAACTTAAAAGTTCACGGGTATTGGGGCTGATGGAGCATTCATTTTGTTTGTCGTCATTTTATCTTTTGGTCACAAATATAGAACTGTCAGCCCATCTTGTACTTTAGCTTGAATTGTTTTGATGGCCGGTTTGTGATTGACAATGATGCAGTAAACTGGCTTTACAGTAAGAATCATGAAGTTGTTTCTCGAAGCAAAGTATAGGCTGTATTGTAGCCTCCTAATGTCACCATTACTTTGTCATATGAAAGATGAAAAACAAAAATGCTGTACTCGATCAAAGATATCCAAGTTAAGAAGTGTGTGTATTTCACCATTCACATTCACCATTCATCATTATACATTATTCATTTACACAGAAGACCATTGGTTGCTGTATAGGCCTAGAGCTTTCAGTCACACAGTACCTATGAAAGACATGGGTTGTTTCTGGATTATGTTGTACTGCAGCTTCTACTATAACCTCAATCAAACTTTCAGCAGAGCATTCAAGTTTCTAGTCGTTAGTACGTTACTGAAGCTATTTGTGTAAAGAGCTGTAAAAAGCGCCGTCTGTAAATTGATTTTTTAATTGCCGAAGTGGAGACAAAAACACCTTTGGAGAGTGACAACTTCGAATAAATTCTGAATTCCATTGTTCCCATACCCCTGTATGGAGAGAAGATAGTGTTATTTAATTTGTTTTAAGTATCTTTGACTTAGTCTAATAGGAAGAGGCTTTTATGTCTAGCTACAGTTACATTTTGATTTTACAATCTAAAATTAGATTAAATGATTCTTTGTCATAGTTTACCAGTGTTACACAGGGGCAACCTTTCATGGGGATGTTTATTTGTTTTTAAATCTTGCAATAATGTCATTTGAGTTTAGTAATAAGTAATTGGTTAAGTATTAAGTGCCCAAGCTGTTTGATAGAAATATTGTTCCCTCATCAGACCGTGGCTCTTGTTTCTTCAGCTGACCTTACAAGAGTTCATGGGTGAATAGTTCCTGAAATGGCTGTGATTTTGTTGTTGTTTTTGAGGAGCACAATGTGTGCCGGTCAATGGGAGGCAGATTGTGAAATTGCAAGGGCTGGAAAGATCCACACTATTTACAGTTACAGCCATTTCCATTCTTCAGTCTTCACGACGATTTGAAAATGGAAATTAAACGCTTTAATGAAAATTACTGAATAAAAGTAATCTCGGCTTTTTAATAGAGCGGTTTTTATTTCAGAAGTGTGTTAATGGTATGGACCTTGTGTGCCAGTTTTAATTAATTTTTGGTTCTTTGATTTTACAGGATTTAATAATCTTCATGTTGCAACTCTCAACTGTCTTGATGTAATGTGCAATAGCAACCAAAACAACAATCAACAGAGAGTATTAAAAAGGTACATTCAACAGCATTTAAAAGCTAGAGTATAAGAGCCAGGGTTTGAATGTGGTGAGGCAAGATTAGGTGACTTGGCTATGACTCTTTGGTAAGATCTCAAGGCAGTTGTAACATGTGAAATGTACAATAATTAACATCTATTAAATGTATTTTAAGTTTTAACGCATGGAAGAACTGTAAGATCTCAATGCTTTGCATGCATTATCGATTATTCTTCTGCTTTACTTTAGTTAGGCCACTCTTGAAATATTTTTTTCTTCTGAAATAAATTCTTAGTGATTCTTAACACATAGATGTTCTGTGGCTGTTTTGAGCAATGCTATTTTATTGTGTTGAAATATGCAGAATTCCTGTTCCTAACAATGCAAACATCACACTTCATAAGTGTTGTAGGGATCTAGACTAATCCATCAGTTCCAGCTGTGTTCAACCCCCCCGAGCAGATGAAAGGAATTCTAATTGGCTGTGGAATGTCTGGAGTGTCATGTAACAATGAGCATGAAGCCATTACACTGGCTGCTGCAGTGTTTAGTCTCCCAGTTATTTTGCCTCATCAGTCCAGACCTTGTTCTGGGAAATGTTGCCCAGGAGGGTCGGTTTAGTCTGTTAGACTAAATGTTACAATACCCCTTGTTAAACCCCTAGATTCTGAACTGAACATTTACCGTACATTGAATTTTTTTGTAGCCTAGTCATTTTTAAGATTAACATTCTGCGGACAGCTTTTGTTCATCACTGTTAAGGAGTTATTTTGGGGGGAATGCAAATATCCAAGCATGAATTTGCTTCATATAGTCCAACTTTATTGTTGTGCTTTTTAATTATATACATCTGCATAACATAAAATTCGAAGGCAGGCTTGTAAGGGGTTTAAATTTAAATTTATGCATCGCATGGCCTGCAAGTAATGTTGCATTTAGCATTGTAAAAGCCTGTGCAAATGACTTCAATTACAGTCTTGCTGAAACTGCGAAAGGGAGTTTTTTAAGTGCTGAAATCCTTTTTTAAGAGCTAGGAATAATGCACACAGGAGGGATACAAAATTTAAGTTGCAGGGAGAAGGTTATAAAATATATCCTGATTTATGTGAGGGGATTCACAAGGGTCACACAGTTTGGTGTGATTTTTTTTTTAGTGCGCACCTTGAATTTTTTTTCTGTAATTTATATTGTTTTATATGCGGTTACAAATCTGGTGGAAAATGAGAGCCTACAAGAAATTGTATATGGCCAATCAAGCGATCTTCTGATGTTGTTAGCTGGAATTTTGCATAACAAACAACTGTCCTCTGTAATTCAGTAAACGTTTAGATGATGAAAAAAACTAAAGTTTTGCTTTTTACGTCTGATTTCTTGCCATGTGACATTTTAATCGGTAGCACTAGAACAGTATTAACTTGATAAGCTTGTGCAAAGACAGTTGTCTTCAGTCAAGAGTGCTCAGTCTCAGTTGTTGTTTCTCACTTCTTATTGCTTTATGATGTGCTGTTAGGTTGCCATTTAACACAATTTCCATTGAGCCAGTGCTCGTAGTGTATTGTTAATGGAAACAAAAACAATGTCTGCAGCCTTTTTCAGCAAGGACCCCTTTTGTGATGCCGGATAGGTCCTGACAGTTCATGCACTGCACAGGCTGAATTCTTTAGAAAGACACAGATGCCAGGAGAGATTGAATTATAGTGTTTTTAGAATTCCTGCTCCTTTTAGACAAAAAAAAGTGTCTGTTTCTTTCTGATACTGTATGGAATTTCAATTTTATAGTTGCTGACTACAGCAAGGGAAAACACTAAAGCACATTTTTGGATCACTGTGTTAAAAAGAACAGAGAAAAGACACATTCCCTTTTATTTGGATGCTGGCAGAAAAAAAATGTTCAAGTTCCTTAGAGCAATCTGTGTTCTTTGTATTGGATCTTATTGCATTGCCTTCCTTAATTTTCTGATGTTATTACAGACAATAAAGTTCTACAGCCCCTTTGACCTTATAACTGACCCAAACTTTGTGGTAAACATACTGGGCTTGTTTAAGTTGTACTTCATTGTGGTATTGTTAACCTTTGGTACTGGTCTCGAATTTCTACTGTATGCAATGACCTGCAGGGCATAAAGGACACTGAT